TTGGTATCTATTGTAACGACCTGTTAGTCGTTTTGAGCAGTAGAGTTTATTTCTGGTAATTACAGTCTGAGTCGACGGATCCCACGACGGACCGTCATGGGCACGACAGACCGTCGAGGGTGTGTCGTTCCAAAACACTTAGAATTCTGAAAAATTGGGTACTGAGAACAACTCTCTGAACTTCGCGATGACATGGCAGGACGGACCGTCGTGGGCACAACGGACCGTCACAGGCCCTTTAGTAAAATTAAGTCTCTGAACTCTATGATGACTAAGCAGGACGGACCGTCGCAGGCACGACGGCCCGTCACAGACTGCGTAACCCTGACTGGGTCAGATTTCTGTTAAATAATTTTAAGCGGTGTTTTGAAATATTCCTGCTTATAATTATAAAGTTAGGGGTTTAATGTTAATAATTCAATTACTTGGGGGTTAAAGAAGACAACCTTGGATTAATTAGTGGGTTACTTTTACCATCTTTTATACTTAATTATATGGTAATTAGGGTAAAAGAAAAAGAGTTTGAATAAGGAAAAATCAGAAAAAAAAGAAAGAGGGGACGAACGAACGAGAGAGGGAGAAACGAAGAAGAAAGCAAAGCATTGGAAAAGTAGATTTCTTGACATCAATTCTTCGGTAAAGGTAGGTTATCGTTTTATGCTATTTCATAGAAACTCTTAATAGCGAATGATATGTATTGAGTAGTATTGTAAACCCTTCTATATGCTTTATTGTGTGCTTGCATGATGTGATTATATAACTGTGATAAAATAAGCATGATGAGGCTGTTGAATCTTAAACCTTTAAAAACCTCTTTGTTAATGATAATGCCTTGGTATAGAAGAAGTCTTGATGAACTAAAAGAATGAGGTTAGCGGATCGAGTGTCACGTTACGGCACCAGGATAGTATTAATGGATAGGGTGTCACGTTCCGGCACCAGGATAGTATTAATGGATCGGGTGTCACGTTCCGGCACCAGGATAGTATTAATGGATCGGGTGTCACGTTCCAGCACCAGGATATTATTAATGGATCGGGTGTCATGTTCCGACACCAGAATAGTAGTAGTGGATCGGGTGTCACGTTTTGACACCAGGATAGTATTAATGGATCGGGTGTCACGTTTCGGTACTAGGATAGTATTAATAGATTCGGTGTCACATTCCGGCATCAGGAGAGTATTAATGGATCGGGTGTCACATTTCGGCAGCAGGATAGTATAAATGGATCGGGTGTCACGTTCCGACACCAGGATAGTAGTAGTGGATCGGGTGTCACGTTCCGACACCAGTATAGTATGAGGAGGATCGGAGTGTCACGTTTCGACACCAGGATAGTAAAGAGAATGAATCTTGAATTATGTTAATATACTCAAAATAATGAACCTATTTCCCAAATGAGTATTGTATGAGGCTTGATTCCTCATGGGTGTACTTGGCGTTATTATCAATGATCTTTGTACTTGTTGCTGCTACCTGTTGAGTATTGTAGTTGATTTTATGATATTATCTGATATATATTACTTTCTATTTTGAGTTGGCCGATGATATCTACCCAATACTCGTGTTTTGTACTGACCCCTACTTGTATGTCATCTCTTTGTTATTTGTGGAGTGCAGCAAACGTACCGTCGTCTTCAACTCAACCGGAACTCTAGCCAGTCTTCATCACGTCAGATTTCAGGGTGAGCTATTGTTTCTAGCTTGGACTGGATCTTCTTCTTCACGTCTTGATGCCATGAAGTTCTGGCATGGACTAGCTGTTTAGTTATATTAGTTTCTTAGATACTCTTAGATTTAGTGATTTGAGGATAGATGTTCTTGTGATGACGACTTCCAGATTTTTGGGATAATGATAAGTGTTGAGTTTTAGAAGTTATTTATTGGTTATATTATTGAGTTTTATGTGTTCCGCATTTTATTTTTATTATTATGTTTGAAAACGTTGGGGTTAGATTGGTTGGGTTCGCTCACATAGGGAGATAAGTGTGGGTGCCACTCACGGCTTGTTTTGGGTCATGACAATGAGATAAAAATAATATCTAAAGAAGATTGTCAAAATGAAGAATTATCAGACCAAAAAATTATATTTGATAATACAATTTTTGAAAAAATAAAAGGAAAAGAATTAGACTTAAGTGTTGAAAAAGTACTTGAAATACCTACTTTATGAAATTGGTTTAAAAGACAAAAAGAAGAATACTACGTAGTTAGTCAAAAAGAACATATTATAGATTGTAAATATACAAGAGGAAAAGCATATATACCTATACTAAGTAAACGAATAATAAATAAGAAAATACAAGATGTAAAAGCTAAAACACCAATAAAATATGTACATTTAGGAGGAACAGAAATATTAATAAAAGCTTGTTTAGAGAAGGAATAGATACACTATTGAAATATACTTATTAGATGATAGAATTATACGCCCTATAGAAAAAAGTGTAATTAGTGTAGTAAAAGGAAACTTAATATAGCAAAAATTTAAATTTATAATAAGTGTCAATTATACAGTAGCATTAACAGATAGAAATATAGATAAATCATTAGTATTATATTGGAAAATGTCTGGAATAGAGTTAGCACCAGGCAGTAAAATATTTACAGCAAGATGTGAAAACTTATATATATTGAGAACAAAACATAAAATAACAGCAAAAAATATAATTGATAAAATAAAGATAGAAAATCCTTTCGAAAAATAAATTACTATAATAGATAATAATGACTATAGCTATAGAGAAATTGACGTAGAAGAAGATTTAGAAATTGTAAAAGAAAGATTAAGTACTTCAAGTGTACCAAATATGTTAACAAGAGCTACCTCATCAAGAATGAGTACATCTAAAAGAAACTATGAAATCCCACAAAACTTATTAGATAAGGAAGAAATAACATCATATCATTATTTCATAACAGGAATAATAGACCAAAGAAAATATAAAATTTTGATAAATACAGGACAAGAAGAAAATTACATATCAAGAGAGTTAGTATTAGAAGAAGAAATTATAAAAACAGGACACATATGCCCTGGATTACCTAGCGAGATAGTAAACATAAATGAAGAAACAACGGAAAAAGAAATAATTATAGGAGGAATACCCTTAATAATACCATTTAAAATATACCATGGAATTTATAATATTACATTAGGTATAAAATGGCTAAAAGAAGTTAAATCGTACAATATAGAAAATGAACAATTAACAATAACTTGTAAAAATAAGAAAATAATTATAAAAAGAACAAAATGAATAATGAAAATATTTATACTTGCAAAAATTATTGTAGAAGGATATCACAACAGATATTATACCCCTATGATAGATACAGGAGCACAAGCGAATATATGTAAATATAATTGTCTACCAGAAGATAAAAGGAAAAAACTAAAAATGTCTATGGTAGTAACAGGATTTAATAATGAAGGAAGTATGATTAAATACAAAGCAAAAAATTATAAAAATACAAATATGGGATAAAATATTAACAATAGAAGAAATGTACAAATTTGAATTTACGACAAAAGACATGTTTTTAGGAATGCCATTTTTAGATAAATTTTACCGACATGTAATTACAAAAACACATTGGTGGTTTACTACACCATGCGGAAACAAAATAGGAGCAAAAAGAGTAAATAATAAGCAACGAAAACCTGTAGAATGGATAAAAGGAAGTGAAAAAATAAATCAAAAAATGGAAAATATAAATAAGAAACAAATATCACAATTACAAATTATTATATTTACAATAGATAAAGTTAAAATAATTAAGGAACAACTAGAACAACTATACAATGAAGATCCATAACAAGGATGGGAAAAACATAAGACAAAAGTAAAAATTGAACTAATAGATGAAAATAGTATAATAACACAGAAACCGGTAAAATATAACTTTGATGATTTAAAGGAATTCAAAATTTATATAGATGAAATATTAGAAAATAATTATATACAAGAAAGCAATAGCAAACATACATGTCCAGCATTTATAGTTATAAAACATAGTGAACAAAAAAAAGGTAAAAGTCGAATGGTCATATATTATCGTAATCTAAATGCTAAAACTAAAACATACAATTACCAAATACCAAACAAAATACTAGAAATAAGACAAATACAAGGATATAACTATTTTAGTAAATTTGACTGTAAATCAGCATTTTATCACCTAAAACTAGAAGAAGAATCTAAAAAGCTAACAGCAATCACAGTACCGCAAGGTTTCTATGAATGGAATGTATTAGCATTTGGATATAAGAATGCACCAGGTAGATATCAACACTTTATGGATAACTATTTTAACCAGTTAGAAAATTATATTGTATATATAGATGATATATTACTATATTCTAAAATACAAGATGAACATATAAGGTTGTTAGAAAAAATTATATATATAATTAAACACTCAGGTATAAGCTTAAGTAAAAAGAAAGCAGAAATTATGAAATCACAGATAGAAATTTCTAGGAATACAAATAGATAGAAATGAAATAAAAATGCAAAACCACATAGTACAAAAAATAATCAACCTTGATGAGAATATAGATACAAAAAAGAAATCTTTCTAGGATTAGTAAATCAAGTAAGAGAATATATACCAAAATTAGCAGAACATTTAAAACCATTACATAAAAAACTTAAAAAAGATGTAGAATACTATTTCGACAATAAAGATAAAGAACACATAAGAAATATTAAGAATTTATATAAAAAATTATTAAAACTTTATTTTCCTGATGAAAATAAAATATTTACTTATATTGTTGAAACAGATTCAAGTGATCATAGTTATGGAGGAGTTTTAAAATACAAATATGAAAAAGAAAAAATAGAACACCATTGTAGATATTATGCAGGATCTTATACAGAAGCACAAATAAAATGGGAAATAAATAGAAATGAATTATTCGCATTATATAAATGTTTATTTGCATTTGTACCATATATTGTTTACAATAAATTTATTGTAAGAACAAATAATACACAGGTAAAATGGTGGATAACAAAAAAGTTAGAAGATTCAGTTACAACAAAAGAAATAAGGAGATAAATATTACATATATTAAATTATATATTTACAATTGAAGTAATTAAGACTGACAAAAATCTTGTTGCAGACTATCTATGAAGAAAAAGGAACCCCAACTGAACCAGAAAAACATACGATGGAAGAAATACTCAAAGTCATTACTATACTTTCTACGAAAGTGGATAGTATAGACAAAGAGTTACAAAAGATAAAAAAATATAAGTTAGCAGCATGACTATAAACATGCGGAGCTACGTCGTTCGGCAGACAGAAAACAGCCAGAGCTAAAAGGAGACAATGGGAAAATCAATAAAACCCATAAAAATGTTTGTTTAAATGCAGCTACAGCCAGCACATCTACAGCAGGACAACCTTCAAAAAAGGATGAAACTAAAGTGAAATACACAAATATAAACATAAATAAATTATTTTTAAAACCATATATTCCTCAGAATACCCAAAAAGATACATTCGTCCCTCCACAAATAAATACCTACAAAGCCAGTCTAGATTCAGAAAAACAAACATATAACCACATTACCAGAATGTATATAGAAAATATATACAAGATACAAACCCTTTTGTCGGCCAATCATGTAAAAAGTTTGTCGGCCAATTATATAAAGTAGTAATAGTAAGTATTTTGTTTTCTTGTGTCGGCCGAATAAAGAGAGGCCATGTGTAAAGTATGTGTCGGCCACTTTTGGCCAAAAGTTTGTAAATTTTGTGTATAAATAGAGGAGCTTTCCTCATAAATAAAACACACCTTCATCCTTACATCTCTCATCTTTCTGAATACTCTCTCTTTACGCTTCCATCCCCTCCATTGGTATCAGAGCTAGTTAATTAAATAACTATGGAAAACAAATCAACTATGACAGATGATCTACAAGAACAGGTATACCATTTTATATTTATGAGTAGCTAAATTAATTTATTCCTGAAAATCTCTTGTTAATTATAATTGTTTATCATGTTTGAATAATGTTATAATAACCATCTTTAGAAAGTTTGCTACAGAAATATTCTTCGAACAAGTATGCCCAGACTATGCCATCCTAAGGTTGAAACCGGTAGGCAGATAAGGCCGTTTAGGGGAGTAAACAAAGTTGAGGCGCTGTTAGGGTAACTAATCAAAGAAGAAAGCTGTAGTAGTGACCAGACTAGATGATTATTAAATCATTATTTTTGCATAATAAGCAAGTATAATTTATTAAGAGGTTGAAAGGAATAAAATTTTAGTGAAAAATGAAAATAATAAAAATGGAAACCTACCTATTAAACGATGATGTTGATTATAAGATATTATTATTCTATATACTAAAAAATTTGAATATTGATATAAAAAGAGAAATTTATAATAAATTATTAACATATGAGATAATAGAAATAACAACCCAAGGTTGGACTGAGTTAACCATACAAAGTATACAAAATGAGCTTTATTATGATATGTATGATTTATATGATGATTTAGATATTGGAGATTAAATATGACTGAATATTGGCTAAAGCGATATGGTAGGAATTACAGGTTAAAAAAGATTAGATATCCAGATAAATTAAGTAGGCTTTTAAAATATTATATAAAAAGTTATGATGAATAAAAATAAAAATACTAAAATAAAAAGAACTAAGATAGATAAAAAGATAAGAAAAATATGGAAAAAATTAAGATCTTTATATATAGAATATGAACTATCACAACTAGTCAAAACAGATAATGATAGAAAAAATCAATTGATAAACATAATTTCAAAAATAGAATATAAATATGTCTGCTATTTGAAAAAACAGTATGAACAGAGAAATCTATAAACAACAATTAATAGAAGAAATAATGGAAATAATGGTTGAAAAAGAACAAGAATTACAACATAGAAAAAGAAGACTAGAAGAAACATATTAGCAGGAGTATGTAATAAATCAATACTAGCACAAAGAAAAGATATATTAACGTTAGAATTAGAATTAGATTGTCTTGAATATGAATTACAACATAATATAATACATAAATCATAATGAACAAAGAAGAATTTGCAGTAGACGAAAAAACATATGAAAACCAAGACGGAATGATAATAAAAATAGTATTTTCAAATTTAGGAAGAAGATACAAGAAAATAGGAAATAACTTATATTTAATGCTAGAAAAAGAAACAGCAAAATTAGAAGATAGTTTAACAGCTATGGTAAGAATAACAAAAGAAAATGAAGAAATAGATAAAATCAAGAGAAAATCGAAAAAATAAAAACACAAGCAAAACAAGAAGTACAAAATTTAGAAGAAATAAAAAATACAAGAATAAGTGAATTAGAAAAAGAATTAGCTAGGTTAAAATTATTATATGAAAATAAACAAAAGAAAAAGATAAAGAGCTAGAATTAACAAATGAAATAAAACAAATGGAACAAAAACTAAATGAAGATCTAAATAAAGATATTGAAGTAAATGAAATAGATGGAAATGAAAATGACCAACAATCAGAAATAAGTGATATAAGTGAAACATATACAGAAATTCTAGAACAGATAAATAAATCGAAAAAATTAGAGATAAACACAGGAGATATGAATAGACCTAGTACGTCAAGAGTTAAAACCCCAGATAATAGTCCCAGAAATAGTCCTAGAGTTAGTCCTAGGAGAACACCACCAACTTATTATACAGAGAGCTATCAACAATCAGATAGAAATAATGCAATATGGAACAGTAGATTAATAAAAATTGGACACCTAAACCAGCAAATGAACAATACAATTTTTTAGATTTAGATTGTGTCGCAGATATAAATAAAGCAATATTAATATGGATAGGAAATATGTCTAAACAGTTAATAGACAATAAAATAGAAACAGCAAAAACACCAAGATACATAGAAAGAACATTTGTAGGAACAACAAAATTATGGATAGAAAATCTACCCTCGGAAAGTTTAGAAGTGCTTAGGAATGATAAGAAAATGGATGGATCTGCATCAGCAACAAATATAGATATACTTGATAAATATGAATCAGCAATAAGAAATGAATTTGGAGGCATGACTACAGATATAAGAGAACAAAATAGAGAAAAAATAATAAATAGACAACTTATGACAAAATTAGCTATATGTAAAATGTGTTACTTAGAAGAATATACTTGCGCATTTAAAGAATATTATTACAAAGCTAAATACAATTTAGACGAAGCAAAAGAAATAAGAAAACAATATTATACAAAATTACCAGAATCATTTAGTACAAACGTAATAAAGGATTGGAATAATGAAGGAATGATAGATACTTTAGGATCTAGAATAAAATTTTTAAATCAATGGTTCATACAGCTATGTGAAAACCAAAAAGAAAAATTAAAAATGGAAAAAGTACTAAATAAAAATTTATCATGTTGCAAAAATAAAATAGCACCACAATTTGGATGCACAACTAAAAAACAAAAATCTAAAAGATATAAAAATTATAGAAAAAAGAAATCTATATATAAATATAAACAACCAAGACGAAGGTATTATGTAAAAAACTATAAAATAAAAAGACCATACAGACCGAAAAGAAAAGATATCCCAATGTACTTGTTAAAGATTGTTATCTTCTCCATTACATTTTGTACTTTTCTCTCTAAATTCTGGATACTTTTCTCCTATTAGTTTACAGTATTTGGTCATCATACATGGAGAAATAAAATTTCTTCTGATAGCTCTTGTTGTAGGTGTTTGTTCTAGCTTCAGTAAACTTAATATCCATTGTCGTACTTCTTCCATATTTCCTGTCCTCATCTCTTTACAATTGGAGTATATCATTGTTTGATCTCTGTTGTAATAACTCCAGATTGCATTTTCATTTAGGTAGTTGATTGATAACTCATTTAATATGGTAGCTATCCCAATAGTTCTTTTATTTGCATAAAAATCTGGGATATCCACCTTCTGTATTTCTTCTTGTATATCTATTATTTCCGGTATTATCATATCTATAGTTAAACCTATCTTCATAACTTGTATTGTAGGTTCTTTATATAATATTTCTGCCATTGCTGAGTAGAACTTTATATAAAATAACGTTCCTTTAGTTATTCTTTTATATTGTAGAAATGCCTTATCTAGCTTAGGTATTTTAGCTACTTCATCTCCAGTTATAGTATATACCGTGCTTATTAGTACGTAGTTGTAGCAAGTTGCTACTAGATTTGGATTTGTTTCAAGTTGTGCTATTAGTTTGTTGTATCCTTGTAGGTATTGTGTGATATAATTTTCGTTTGGATTCTTGGTATCTTTTGCTCTTGGGTTTAGGTTTAAAAAGGTTTGTATCTTGTATATATTTTCTATATACATTCTGGTAATGTGGTTATATGTTTGTTTTTCTCAATCTAGAATGGCTTTGTAGGTATTTATTTGAGGAGGGACGAATGTATCTTTTTGGGTATTCTAAGGAGTGTATGGTTTTAAAAATAATTTATTCATATTTATATTTGTGTATTTCACTTTAGTTTCCTCCTTTTTTGATGGTTGTCCTGTTGTAGATGTGCTGGCTGTAGCGGCATTTAAACAAACATTGTTATGGGTTTTATGGACTTTCCCATAGTCTCCTTTTAGCTCTGGCTGTTTTCCGTCTGCCGAACGACGTAGCTCCGCATGTTTATAGTCATGCTGCTGACTTATATTTTTCATCTTTTGTAACTCTTTATTGTAACGACCTCTTTAGTCGTTTTGAGCAGCAGATTTTATTTCTGGAAAAACTGGCTGAGACGACGGATCACACGAAGGACCGTAGTGAGCACGACGGACCGTCGAGGGGGTCTCGTTCCAAAACACTTAGATTTCTGAAATTTGGGTACTGAAATTGACTCTCTGAACATCGTGACGGAATGGCAGGACGGACCGTCACAGGCGTGATGGGCCGTCACAGATCCTTCAGTAAATTTCAGTCTCAGAACTCTGTGACGACTCAGCAGGACGGACCGTCGCAGGCACGACGGCCCGTCACAGGCGGCGTAATCCCAGGCTGGGTCGGATTTCTTTAAATGTTTTAAGGGACGTTTTGGACTATTCCTGCTTATAATTATAAAGTTGGTGGTTGAATATTAATAATCCAATTTCTTGAGGGTTAAAGGAGATAACCTTAAATTAATTAGTGGGTTATTTTGTCATCTTTTATACTTAATTATATGTTAATTAGGGTAACATAAAGAGGGTTTGAATAAGAAAAATAGAAAGAACAAGAGAGGGAGAATCGATCAAGAGAGAGAGGAATGAAGAGGATAACAAAGCTTTGGGGAAATTGCTTGCTTGATTACGAATCTTCGGTGGAGGTAGGTTATGGTTTTTTTACACTATTCGTAGTGAACTCTTAATAGCGAATGATATGTATTG